GATATAGAATCATTAATTACGTATACAAACCTTAAAAAAAACGTATCATTTCCTTATTTCGATTTCTTATAGGGTATCTCGGTTTTTGCTTGATCTTTGGACAGGTAACGACCTTTTTTTCTTGGTATTTTACTAACCTGCAGTTGCCTTTTTGTTTTACATAGCATTTAAAAAAGTGGTTATTGGGTTATTCAAATAAAACATTTTTTATTTACATGTGAAAATCTAAAAAATTTTCTCATAATCACTCATTCTCGTGAAAAATTGATTATAATAATTCAGGCCGGCATAATTTCAGCTCAAATTATTATGATTTTTGGCCAATAAAATTGCATTCACGTGACAAAATTTGTTTCAAATTCAGACAAATAATATGAAAAACACCGAAGTTTAAATGCTTATAACTTTTTATATAGGCATTTTTTTGAAAATCAGATCAGTAATTTAACAGACTTCACTTTGGAGAATAAGATTACTAGTTTATTTTTTAAAAATTATATTATTTTTTAATGTTAAAAATTTTCCAAGTATTACAATTTTATTGTCTAGTTAAAACTTCCGGAACTATAATAACTGATAAAAATCTTGCTATTCAAAACTAAAATTCTATAGTTTAGATTTACAAAACTAGTTTATTTAATGAAACTAATTTATATTAGATTAAAATAGCAACTTTACTCAATGGAATTCAATATATTGTAATAAGTAATTATAGATTACCTGATATAATAAATTACATGATTTTTACTTTATTATATTGGTGGTATGCTATTAAAATTGAAGTATGAGACATAGTAAATCATATGATCTGTCGATTTTAAGCTGATTTATGTTGAATTTTGACCAATTTTTAACATAAACGTTTATTGATAGCTGATTTTTTATTTATTCAAAATGCTAATTTTTTGGTAATAATTAGCAGAATTAGATTATATTTTGGTCAACTTTCAGCACTTTAAATATGATGAATTGTATTATTTTACCTAGTGATATATCAAATAACTACCAATTGTTAATGTTAAATGTTTATTTGTGTGACACCTAAATTAGACAACTTCAGCTATAACTAAAAATGTCAATTATTTTGGCAATGATCAGCAGAAATTAGATTATATTTCAGCTAACATTCAGCACTTTAAAAAAGTGACAAAATGGATTATTTCAACTAGTATAGGATACCCATTAAGTAATCATCATCAAAGTAATAAATTAACTAACTTCTGCTAATGCTTTCATTACTAATAACTTGACATGTGATCATTTTATAGCTATAAAAAAACTGGTAGAATACAATACGCAGAAAAAAGTTCAAAATAAAAATAATACTCAGAGCATACACTAATTGAAATAATCCATTTCGTTACTTTTTATAGTGTTAAATATTAGTCAAAATATAATCTAATTTCTGCTGATCATTGTCAAAACAATCAGCATTTTTAGTTATAACTAAGGTTGCTAGATGAAATCCAGAGTATAGACAGATGTTTAAATGGTAAAAGTAAAACTTGATTAAATTATATTAAAATCTTATTAAAAAATCTGCAAAATTTAAAAAATGGTAAAACTAAATCAAAGCTTATAAAAATAGCGAAATTATATCAATCACTTAGTAAAAATTTAGCAAAATTAAAGATTTAGATGTTTAGCTAAATCTAAAATGAGTTTAGACAGCAACCTTAGTTATAGCTGAAGTTGTCTAATTCAGATGTCATACAATAAACATTTGACATTAATGATTGGTAGTTATTTGAAATATCACTAGGCATAATAATACAATTCATCATATTTAAAATGCTAAAAGTTAGCCAAAAAATAGTCTAGTACTGCTGATTTTTACCAAAAAATCAGCACTTTAAATAAATAGAAAATCAGTTATTAATCAGCATTTATATTAAAAATTGGTCAAATTCAGCATAATCAGCTTAAACTCAGTCAACAATCAGCAAAAATCAATTAAAATATCAAAACTAATAAAACTAATTTTTGTTTATTTATGATTTATAATTTTATTTTATTATTACATAATAAATTATCCAAAAAGAATATATATAGTATTATATTTTATTCAAAAAAATACATTTGATTTTTAAAGATAAGAAAAAATAAAGAAATCAGTTAGAAAACCCATTAAAAATTATATCTGAAAGGCTAACCTTGATGTATTTCTAAAAAAAAAAGTAAAGATAAAATAAAGAAAACAGTAAAAAAAAACATCAAAATACCATCTCTGAAAGGTTTACCTTAATGTATTCCTAAAAAAAGTGAAGAAAAAATAAAGAAAACAGTTAGTAAACTATCAAAATACTATTTTCGAAAGGCTTACCTTATTGTATTTCTAAAAAATATAAAAAAAATAAAAAAAACAGTTAAAAAACATCAAAAAATCATTTTTGAAAGGCTTACCTTAATGTATTCCTAAAAAAAGTAAAGAAAAAATAAAGAAAAAAATGTTAAAACCATCCAAAAATACCCTTTGAAAGGCTTACCTTAAAGTATTCCTAAAAAATATAAAAAAAATAAAAAAAACAGTTAAAAAATATCAAAAAATCACTTTTGAAAGGCTTACCTTAATGTATTCCTAAAAAAAAGTAAAGAAAAAAATAAAGAAAACAGTTAGAAAACACACTAAAAACTTTTTCTGAAAGGCTTACCTTAATATATTTCTAAAGAAAATAAAGAAAAAATAAAGAAAAAAAGGTTAAAAACCATCTAAAATATTTTCTGAAAGGCTTACCTTAGTTTCGAAAAGAGAAATTTCCTAAAAAAAACAAAGAAAAATAAAGAAAAAGGGTTAAAAACTATCCAAAAGTTACTTCAGATTTGCTTACCTTAAAATTTCCAAAATAAGAATTTCCTAAAAAAATAAGAAAAAAGAAAGGAAAATGCCACAAAAATAACTTCTGATTTGCTTATCTTAATTCTAAAATAAGAATTTCCTAAAAAAACAAGAAAAAAGAAAGGAAAAGATTAAATTTTCGCCCCAAAACAACCTCATTAGGAAAAAAAAAAGGAAAAAATAAAAATTTTCAGAATATTTCAAAAGTTTATCAGTTTTATATTGTAAACTAAACTAAAATTTCAATTAATCCGAAATTTAGATATTATTTATACTATTTATCATAAATGTTCTAAACGAATGATTTTGCATCATTTGATTGCAAAATAAACTATAGTTTGATTGTTTCTTATAAACAATGACAAAATTGTTCTAAAGGAATGATAATTCGATCGTTCCTAAGAATGATATAGAAAATCATTTGAAAGAAACAATAATTCAATCGTTCCTTATAAATGATAACAAAATCGTTCAAAAGGAATGATAGTTCGATCATTCCTTAAGAATGATATAGAAAATTATTCTAAAGAAACAATTATTCTATTGTTCTAATAGAACAATAAAAAATCATTGTTCTTTCAGAATGATAATGAATTGTTTTAAAAGAACAATAAAAAATCATTCTTTCAGAATAATGATGTATCGTTTTGAAAGAAAAATAAAAAATTATTATTCTTTTAGAATGATAATTCATTGTTCCAAAAGAACAATAAAAAAATCATTGTTCTTTCAGAATGATGATACATCATTCTAAAAGAACGATAAAAAAAATATTCTTTCAGAACCATGTATTATTCCAAAAAAATGATAAAAAAATCATTGTTCTTTCAGAATGATGATGTATTATTTCAAAAGAACGATAAAAAAAATATCATTCTTTTAGAATGATAAAAATCATCATTTCTTAAAAACGATGAAAAAAATATCATTTTTTCAGATAATTGAATTATTCCTTTTGAGACGATTTCTATTGTCTCTTTGGAAATGATTGTATTATTTCTTTAGGAATAATTTCTATTATCTTTTTAGAGATGATTATTCGTTCCTTTAAGGATAATTTTTATCGTCTCTTTGAAAATAATTGTTCATTCCTTTAGGAATGATTTCTATTGTCTCTTTAGGAATGATTATTCGTTCCTTTAGAAACAATTTCCATCATCTCTTTGAAAATGATTATTCATTCCTTTAGGGACAATTTCTATTGTCTTTTTAGAACGATAACTCTTAGAATATTTTTATAATTTCATAAAATTAGCTCAACAGATTTCAACCAATAAGATATAGTCAATTTGTTACCAAATCTTAAGTCTAACTGAATAAAATAACTGAAAGGTCTTAATGCCAAAATAATGCTAAATTATGTGTAATTAATGATATTGGACGAAATTATTTTTTAAATCTGAAATATTTTAGTTTTTTTTTAAAATGATGAAATTTTTCCGAAACTGAAACCGAAATAACAAAATTGATGAAACTGACGAAATTGATGAAATTGACGAAATTGACGAAATAAAAAAATATATTAAAAAATAATTAAATGTATTTTTAAATTCATTATAATTATTTATTATTATTTATATACTATAAAAAAAAAATATTTATATTACTAATATATTTATAAAAAAAAATTATCTGTCTTCAAAAAAAATTACAAAAAATAAAGCTAATTTGAAAAAATTATTATAATATTTCTCTATCATTATTAAGTAAATATTTTTCTGTTAATAATTCAATATCATAATCATTATTATCATCACTACTATTTGAATCTGAATAACTATTATTATCGCTATTATCATTTTTACTATTACTTGAATTATCATTATTTTTATTATTTCCTATATTAATATCTTTTAAATCAAATAATTGTTCAATTATTAAAACACGAACTTCATGGGTTTGAATTTCTAAAGCTATATTGTTATTTTCTTCTTCTTCCTCCTCCTCTTCCTCAAATTGTAAAAATGTTAAATCTTCAATCATTTTATATAACTCATTTTCCAAATGTTGTTGTCCAACATAAGCAAGCTCATTTTTTATATTTAAAATATAAAAAGAATGAATTTTTACCATTACTTCAATTTTTAAAAGTCCTAAACGTTGCCGTCTTTTTTACATCCTACACTATGAGGGGTAATAGAAAATATCATAATTGCTAATTCACAAAGATGATTATATTTATCCTTTATTGAAAGCCACCAACTCATTGGTGTTTCAATTTGTTTGTCAAACTCTTGATCATAAGGATCAACTTTTAATTATTTTTCCAAATTTGTGCTGCTGTAGTTATAATAATTTTCCAATATTTTTTCTTTAATCCATATGCTATAAATAAATAATAATTATTATTATTATTATTTAATTTTTAAAAATTTACTAACCACAAAAAGCTGGATGTAAAAAATATGCTAATATATAAATATTTGGATCAAATTTTTCCCAATATTTATTAAATACATTAATACTATGTTGTCGAAATTTTTGCATTCCTTGAATAGGTAACTTTTTAATAGCATTAGCTAATAAAATTAGCTGAAGAAAACAATCTGCAAGATTTG